TTTAATTTTTATGTGGCATTATTTTAACCTCTATTTCTTTTATTTTTAATTTTTGGCTTTTTGAGACAGGGTTTCTCTATGTATCTTTGTCCTGGAACCTACTCTGTAGACCAGGCTATCCTTGAATTGAGAGATCTGCCTGCTTCTGCCTCCCAAGTGCTGGGATTAAAGGTGTATGCGGCCACATCTTGAACTCGCAGAGGTCTATCTACCTCTGCCTCCCAAGTGTTGGGATTAAAAGTGTGTGCCACCACACCCAACTACTTTCTCTCTCTAAGGACTTTAACAGGTGTTGGGAGAAGGGGCGGAAATGAAAACTTTCATAATTTAATAAACTTAAAAAAATAAATAATAAAAAAAAGTTTAAGTAAGTTAAATTCATTAAAATGAAGCAAAAATTTTACATGATACTTAAAAAAGCATTTCTTTCCACTTAATGTGTAGTAAAGATAGTCTTCAATTTGAGACATAATAACAATTGATTTGTGGAAAACATCATTGTTTAATAAACACTCCTAGGGAACAATATTATAAGTTCTCTGAGGAAACACATAGATCAAATTCTTAGACTTGAGAATTGTTTTTATATATTAAATCTCATCTAATTCATGTTTTTGGAATGTGACACACTATAACATAAGTTTATTCCAAACAACACTGACACAATTAAGGACATGGACTCATGATTTTTAGTTCACTTTTGGAGAATGTAAATTTTTAGGTTCTTAAAGACAGTCTAGTGATTTGAGACAGACTTAACGTAACTGAGAGATATAAGATTGAAAATATGAACATCCTGTAGCTTCAGTCTCTTAGAACCCATTATCATAGTGGAATGAAGTGAGGGCAGAATTGTGTACCTAAGACTGTCACCAATGAGGGTGAAAAATAAATACTTTCCAAAGCTCCTCTTTTACTGATGAAGATCAGGTGATCTCACAGATCATTTCTCTCACTAGTCATCACTTGAAGTTGAGTGTTCAACCTCTCCAACTTCTTAACCTGCTTCTTGCTGAGACTGATTGGACGTTTTCTCCACAGAAGTCCCTGTTGGACAAATGAACACAGATGAACTGGCCCAGTTCCAAGGCGCAGAGCATGGAGAGACCACGCTGAGTCATAAACAAATCTCTGAGAAACCATGCATGCCTGTGACCCAGTGACATCCTGAAGGATTTTATCCCAGGCCAAGATGACTTCTCTGTGAATCTCAGGTCTTTCTTTTCCCTAAAGGATGGATGTTGCCATGCCAAGTTGGTTTTCTTTGTCTCCCTTACCCCATGCTTCTCATGGCCAAGCAGCCAGCCACCTCAGGCATGTTCACAGCTGCACATAATTCAACATGGTTGCAGAGTCCACAAGCCTTTGGCTTTAGAAGCCAAGAGAAAATGGCATAGTCCACAATACTCAGGTGTTATGGAGCTGCTCTTATTTCCTGCCAGGTCACTTGAAGTGCATGGTAAAGATGGAGAAATAATACAGCTTCCAAACATGGTCAACAGACTCAGCTAATCAAACTCTGTGTTCTGCCTGTCAGATGTACTCAAAAAATTGGTTTGGGCATGAAGACACCATGGAGGTTGTAGCTGTCTGTGACCTGTAAAACACTGGGGATGACACAATGGGGTCAAGGCTGTCATTACAGAAGTTGGCATGAGTACCTGTTGTTAACATCATTGTTGGCATAATGAACCATGATTACAGGCAGTTCATTCCTCTCATATGTCACTGTATGGCGCTGAAGGGTCAGTTCGTTTTTTTACACTTGTCTTTGCTTTCTACTGGGATAGGGTAAGAATAATTCAAAATCCCCTTAATATTTTGAAGTAACGATCTGCCCATTTTTATTTTTTATTTCTTTTTTTGAATTCTGTTAAGAATCTTACATTATAAAGGCTGTATCCCATGAATACAGAGATGTAGGATTGCAATATACAGAAAAATTCTATAATGTTTTCATTTTTATTATTTTGAATTTATACAAAATATGAATATTTATAAGAAAGACTGTGGTGTCTTGACTTAGACTTGCACATTTTCTTCACATAGTGATCGAACATGGGTGAATATTCCAACCAGCCCTTTAAACCTAAATCACATACTTGTGGTGAGTACATATGCAGCCTCATTTCTCACATATTCTACTTATAAATATAGAATGCTGAATTATTTTTCGCTCTGCTGTGTAACAAATGGAGAGGATATCAGAAAGTGATAAGATATCCCCTATTCACGGATCAGTAGAGAAACATAGTAATAATGGCCATCTTACCAAAAGCAATCTACAGATTCAAATCAACATCCATCTTAATTGCAACAAAATTCTTTACAGACACGAAGGAACACTACTCAACTTCATACGGTTAAATGTAAAAACCCAGATAGCTAAAACAGTCCTGTAGAGTAAATGAACTTCCTGATTTTAAGCTCCACTGCAGAGCCAAAATAATACATACAGCATGATAGTGGCTTAAAACAGACAGGTTTGACAATAAAAACAAATTAAAGTCCCATATATAAGCCCACACGTCTGTGAACACCTGATTTTTGACAATAAATCAAAAATGTACAATGCAATAGAAGAGAGTATCATCAACAAATGTTGCTGGCAATACTAGAGTCAGCACGTAGAAGAACTCAAATTGTTAAAGAGTTGAGAGAAACAAATAAGTCCTTCCTCTCACTGGGACACTAGGTGGTAGTCACAATAAACTCTAAATTATAGTTCAGATTTTGCACTGTGATGGTGTCCTCCCTACATGCAGACTGTCGGTACTAAGTCACTTTATAATGTGGTCTAACATCCATAAGAAATAATGAAAAAGGTATATGATGATCTTTACCAGTTTTCCTCAGTAAAACAAAATAGATTAAATGCTACTGTGTGAATCCTAACATCATTAAATGAACCAGTTCTCTGCAGAAAGAGACACATATTAAAAACAGAACTTGGTGACTGGTTAGGGCTTTAAAGGTGGCCTGGAAACCATGTCTCCCTTACTTCAGTTTTTCAATAAAATTTACCCTCTTCTGCTTACTAGAATGGAGACAACAGCAGACAGAGCAATGTTCAGCCAAGATTCAGGGAATGAATGGTGAAGGGCATTTTCAATCTATAATATGAAGTTTAGACTCCCAGGGGCCTCAGAAGACCCAGCTGCGTGGACAGTTACAAAGAATACAGAGTACAAAATACCATTTGGATTTAAGGAGATAAACATTCATAAGTACAATTTAGACTTAAATTGCAAGCTTACACAGAATTCTGAAATAATTAAATTAGAATATCACAGTCAGAAAAGTTAGAATATCCAGCTCACCAGAGATGTAGGTATTTCCATTAGAATTGCATGTTGCTTGAAAAGTCACATGATTACTATGTTTCAATTATGGGAACCACAGTCTTTTTGTATATTAGAAATATGCACATGCCTAAGACTGAATTTCGAGGTCATTATATTTGACTTATGATGTTATGTGCGTAGGAAGCATGTTAGTCCTTCCATTCAACTGTAAATCCCCAGATTTCTTTATCATTATTTTTGTATTTTATAAAAGAAACCATTTTATTTATCTTAAAGACACATTTGTTATATTTGTCAAAGTCTACTTTATTCACTTAAGCTCAATGAGGTCAGTGGGAAGGGTCCTGGGACTGGGAATGTATGGAGCTTGCATAAGGATATGGTGTTGTTGTCCAGGTCCTCTCTGAAGCACTACAGAGCCAATGTGTCTCCATCTACCCATGCAGATGAAATACATTGCTTTTAAAATTAGAGGAAACTGCCCTTAGATCTTTTCTTTCTTTTGATATCTGTGGTGGTTCCTTCTTCAAACAAGGATCATATTTATGTTTTCAATTGTTTCAGAAATAAATCTTTTATGATGAGTTCCTTTAGAGGCATACAGTGGGATTCACTCTGCCCATTCATAAATTTCTAATCAGTTTGCACTGAGGGTTTTCATGAAGGTTGAGAGGCACTGACATGGATAACTTCATTTTTTTTCATTTTTTTTCTCATTCCAGAAATGTTCACTGTAGGGCAGGAATAGAGGGTTGATTTGTTTGGTTTCCCAGCAGAAGTTATGTAATCACCATTACAACTAGAAAAGCACATTTTAAGATGTTCATCTAAGTGGCATCATGATTGTGTGTCCTTGATATGCAAAATATTTTCCCAAGTGTTTCACCCTTTGTCTTTTACCTAGAAAATTTTCAAATGTACTCTGAACAAAATAACATGTTAACCCCATGTGTTCTTCCCTACAGGTTTTTTTTGTCGTCTTTCATGGTACTTTAATTTCTTCTTTTTTCCTAATCCATTAAGAATTTTGTGTAATGGAAATAAAAAATAAAGTAAAATGAAGTTAAAATCTTTCTTCCTTCCACTATTTATTCAATAATCTGTACTGGGCACCTTCCTGAGAGAACCTATAGATGGATTAACTGCAGTTGACAAGAACACAGTTCTAGAGCAACAGAGATGGCTCAGTGGTTAAGAGCACTGGTTGCTCTTGTAGAGGACCTAGGTTCAGTTCCCAGCACTCACTAGGCAGTTTGCACCCATCTATAATCCTAGTGGTAGGGGGATCTGATGTCCTCTTCTGACCTCTAAGGGCACTAAGAACACATTGCATCACAGATGCATGTAGGCAAACGCTCTTTGGCATAAAAAAAATAATAGAAAACCAACTCTACAAATAAAGATAAATTTCGTGGCATAAATTTAAATGAATTTATGAACGAATGAATGAAATGGAGGAAACTTCCTTTTCCTAAACCCTCAGATTGGATGTCCAGACTGTCATTGGTGTGTCTTTAATTCCGTTTTCTAAAGTGTCACAGGGCATGAGAACAAAGTGACAAGGATTACAACATGAATTACCCATGCTGGAAAGGGACCTAGGAACTGGGGTGAAGGAGCTGCTGCGCGCGCTACGCGGGTGACTATTTCTGGCTCCATTTGGGTACCGTAGTCCCCGATCCGGAAGTCGTCCGCTGCCGGAAGTGACCCGCGGTTTGGAGCTCGCGGGAAACTCGTCTAGCTGCCTGGCGCACCGGTGGGACTCCAGCTGCCATGAGCCTCTTGGAGGACAAATACCGGCCGTGCTCCCTCGCCCAACTGGACTATCACAAGGAACAGGCGGTGCAGCTGCGCAACCTGGTGAGCAGACCGGGAGCGGGGAGGCCGGCACGTTCCGCCGCTTCCTGAAAAGCCCGCGGGGAAGGGAGTGAGAAGGCGGGCGCTCCAGGGCTGGCGGGGAACCCAAAGTGACAAGTTCCCCGGAGTGCTGCTTCTGCTGCCCGGGGTCCCGTGAGCTTGGGGTGCGGACCTGGCGGAGGCTGCAAACCCCGGTTGTCTGAGGAGCTGGGGCCGACAGGCTCTCGTGCTTCAGGTAGCTAGATGGCAGGCTGATGGAGGGGACAGTGCCCTGCACCCTGTTCATAGTTACTTCTTCAGAATCACAGCTAAGTCTTTCTGAAAACGAGGATTTATTTTACCTAGTGCCTTTGTCCTCCATATGAGAGGTTTTGAAAGAATCGGGAGGGAAGTGGAAGATATGTTTTAGTTGTCTTTTGTTGTTGTTATAATGTGTGCAATAATGTAAAAATCGAGCATTATACTTCTTGTGTATGCACACCGGTTTTTACAGTAGCTTTAAGATTAAGTTTCCTAGCCATAGGATGGACACATTTTATTGATCTCTGTGGCTACTTGTTTATATTCTTAGGGCAGGGGGTTAGTATACTATTCCTACGCGTTAATGGATTTACTTTTAAACAGTCTACATCTTCTCATTGGGTCAAGTCCCCATGCCCATAGTACCCTTTAGTTTGATGCCATTCTCTTCCTGCTGTTTGATAACACACTCTTTCCCATTGCATCCCTTATGTGCAATCTTCCTGTACCCCCTAAATGAATTTCCACGGGAATCAGTGTACCCACTTCTTAGCAAGAAAATCATTTGGGGAACCTAGGCAAGACAAGCATCTGTCTCAGTTACAGAGATCTGTTCCACAGTCCCATCAGCCCTCACTTTTGAAAGTGCCCTTCAGAGAACTTGCTGAGGGAGTTCCTGGCTTTAAGCATTTAGTGTTGTGCCTTGCATGTTCTGTGTTGTGAGTGCAAGTTAGATTAAATTAGTGCCCAGAGAAAGCAAACATTAGAGTTTGATAAATTTTCTATTGGAGTTAGATAGTAAACAAAATACCTTAGTACTTTAGAAGTAGTTTGTTTAGCCTGGAGCACCTGGGTTTGACGAGAGTAAAATGCCGTGTTCTTTCTTCCCTAGGTGCAGTGTGGTGACTTTCCTCACCTCCAAGTATATGGGCCATCAGGTGCTGGAAAAAATACAAGAATTATGTGTATCCTACGAGAGCTTTATGGTGTCGGGATGAAAAAATTGAGAATTGAGCATCAAGCTATCACAGTAAGTATCTCTTGTCAGGCCTCAGCAGATGTTTCTGTCAAGGATTTTCTTTTTTCATTTTTTTTTAATTTTATTGAGCTATAAATTTTTCTCTGCTCCTCTCCAAGCTTCTTCCCTCCCCTTCAACCCTCTCCCATGGTCCCCATGCTTCCAATTTACTCAGGAGATCTTGTCTTTTTCTACTTCCCATGTAGATTAGATCAATATATGTCTCTCTTAGGGTCCACATTGTTGTCTAGATTCTCTAGAATTGTCAATTGTAGGCTTGGTTTCCTTGCTTTATGTCTAAACGTCTTTTATGAGTGAATACATATGATATTTGCCTTTCTGGGCCAGGGTTACCTCAGTCCATAGGATGTGTCTAGATCCATCCATTTGCCTGCAAATTTCAAGATGTCATTATTTTTTTCTGCTGTATAGTGCTCCATTGTGTAAAGGTACCACATTTTCCTTATCCATTCTTCAGTCGAGGAGCATTTAAGATGTTCCCAGGTTCTGGCTATGACAAACAATGCTGCTATTAATATAGTTGAGCACATGTCCTTAGGACTCGATTAAGCATCCTTTCAATATATACCCAAAAGTGGTATTCCTGGGTCTTGAGGAAGGTTGCTTGCTAATTTTCTGAGAAATCGCTATACTGACATCCAAAGGGGCTGTACCAGCTTGCATTCCCACCAGCAATGCGGGAGTGTCCTCTTTACCAAGTAACCTCTCCAGCATAAGTTGTCATCAGTGTTTTTGATATTGTTTCTTCGGTGGTCTGGGCAGAACTATGGAGGAATGGGCTTCCACCTTCCTTGTATTCATCTGTTCTCATTGCTGCGCCTCTACTTCCTGTCTGGTTGACCCGCCTATACTTCCTGCCTGGCCAATCAGGATTTATTTAAAACATGATTGACAAAATACAGACAATTCTCCCATACCACTTCCCCCTCTTTTTTTTTTTTTTTTTAACAAAGGAAAATATCCATAGTATCGTAGTATTCCAGGCTACTTTTGGCTGGTTGGAGGCACTGATAATCTTATGAGGACCTAAAGAACATTTAGAATTATCATCAAGCCCTTACTGCAATATCCTGTGAGTCTTGATCATCTTAGGCAGCAGTCTTGAATCTGTTCTGGATATAGAACTTAGACATCCAGAACATCTGTTCCTACTGGAGATTTCTCAGGTGGTCTTCTTTTATCAAACTGGATTTTTCTTATCTCAGATTGAATCCACAGCCTCTCATTTTCTGTGGAAACAAAAACAAATCCTCTTCTCCAGAGTAACATACATTTTGACTTCAATTTTGAAGCCAAGGTATTTTCAAAATACCTATCTTGGATTAATTCAGCAACATCTATAAGCAAATATTTTTTAGTAGCTGTTGCTCTTTTCTCAGCATTCAAACAATTCAAGGAGAACATAACAACATACAGTATCAAGATTCTCTATGTGTTTTTCATCTTTATGTGGCTTTACTTTAACCTGTATTTCTTTTATTTTTACTTTTAACTTTTGACTTTTTGAGACAGGTTCTCTGTGTATCTTTGTCCTGGAACTCCATCTGTAGACCAGGCTATCCTTGAACTCACAGAGATCCACCTTTCTCTGCCTCCCCAGTGCTGGGATTAAAGGTGTCTGCCACCACACCTTGAATTTACAGAGGTTTGTCTGCCTCTGCCTTCCAGGCATTGGGGTTAAAAGTGTATACCACCACACCCAACTACTCTCTTTCTTTATTTTAAGGACTTTAACCTTTTTTTTTTTCAAGTCTGCATATATTTTTAACACACTGTAAAGCATTTAGAAGTTTTCTTCATCTTTAAATCTCTCTTTACTGTAGTAGAAGTTCATTGGTAGAATTTTTGGGGTCACTTATTTAAGCTATCATATTATCAGCAAATAGTGAGAGTTTGACTTCTTTTCCAATTTGTATCCCCTTGATTTCCTTTTTTTTTTTTTTTGTCTTATTACTCTAGTTAGAACCTCACGAACAATATTGGATAGATATGGAGAGACTGGAAAACCTTGTCTTTTTCCTTATCTCAGTGGGATTGCTGGGAGTTTCTCTCTATTTAGTTTGATGTTGGCTGTTCGCTTGCTGTATATTACCTTTATTATGTTTAGGTATGTCTTTGTAACGTCGCTCTTTCCAAGACCTTTATCATGACGGGATGTTGTATTTTTCTGAAAGGTTTTTCTTGACGGGATGTTGTATTTTTCTGAAAGGTGTTTCAGCATCAAATGAGATGACCATGTGGTTTTTATTTTTCAGTTTGTTTATTTAGTGGATTCCGTTGACAGATTTTCTTATGCTGAACCATTCCTGCATATTTGGAATGAAGCTGACTTGATTGTGGTGATGATGGTTCTGATGTGTTCTTGGATTCGATTTGCCAGTATTTTATTGAGTATTTTTGCATTAATGTTCATGATTGAGTTTGGTCTGTAATTCTCTTTCTTAGAATTGTCTTTCTGTAGTTTGGGTATCAGGGTAATTGTAGCCTCATAAAAAGTACTTTGCAATGTTCCTTTTGTTTTTATTGTGTGGAGTAATTTGTGGCGATAGTTCTTTGAAAATCTTGTAGAATTCTGAGCTGAAACCATCTGATCCTGGACCTTTTTTGGTTGGGAGACTTCTGATGACTGTTTTTAAATTTCTTTAGCAGTTATAGGTCTGTTTAATTTGCTTATCTGGTCTTCGTTTAATTTTGGTAAGTGATTATTTATCCAGTAAGTTGTCCATTTCCTTTAAATTTTCCAATTTTTTTGGAGTACAGGTTTTTGAAGTATGACCTAATGATTCTCTGGATTTCCTCCATGTCTGTGGTTATGTCCTGCTTTCCATTTCTGATTTTGTTAATTTGGATATTCTCTCTGTTCCTTTTGGTTAGTTTGGATAAAGGGTTGTCTCTTTTGTTAATTTTTCTCGAAGAACCAACTCTTTGTTTTATTGGTTTTTGTATTGTTTTCTTTGTTTATATTTTGTTGATTTTTTTGCTCTTAATTTGATTATTTCTTGCCATCTAGTTCAGGTCAGTTTTTTTTTTTCTTCTAAAGTTTTCAAATGTTCTTTTAATTCACTAGTGTGGGATTTTTCCAGCTTCTTTATGTAGGCATTTAGTGCTATGAACATTTTTTTTTAACAGTACTTTCATTGTGTTGCATAAATTTGGGTATGTTGTGTCATCATTTTCATTGAATTTTAGGAAGTCTTTAATTTTTTCCTTTATTTCTTCTTGACCGATTGATGGTTGAGGTGAGCATTGTTTAATTTCCATGTGTGTGGGGGCTTTCTGGAATAAGTGTTGCTGTGGAATTCTAATTTTAAGCCATGGTGATATAATAAGATACATGGGGTTATTCCAATTTTTTTTTTTGTATCTGTTGAAGTTCGTTTTGAAACTTAGTATCTGATCAATTTTTGAGAAGGTTCCATGAAATGCTGAGAAGAAGGTATATTCTTTTATGTTTGGACAGAATGTTCTATAGATAGCTGTTAAGTCTATTTGAATCATAACATTTCTTAGTTCCCTTATTTCTTTGTAAATTTTTTCCTGACAGACATGTCCAGTGGTGAGAGTGGAGTGTTGAAGTCTCCCACTATTAGTGTGTGGGGTTTAATGTATGATTTAAGATTTGGAAGTGTTTCTTTTACTTATGATGGTACTCTTGTATTCAGGGCATAGATGGTCAGTATTTAGATTTCCTCTTGATAGATTTTTTTTTGACAAATATAAAATGTCCTTCTTGATCTCTTTTGATTGATTTTATTTTGAAGTCTATTTAATTAGATATTAGGATAGCTATACTAGCTTGTTTCTTAAGTTCATTTGATTGGAAAATTTTTTCTCAACCCTTTATTCTGAGGTGATGTCTGTTTTACATGTTGGGGTGTGTTTCTTGTATGCACAGAAGGATGGATTATGTTTTTTATTCAATCTGTTAACCTGTGTCTCTTTATAGTTTTGTTGAGTCTGTTTATATTAAGGGATATTAACAACCAGTGTTATTTTAGTTTTCTTTGGTGGTGATGTTATTTTGTGTGTTTTTCCCTTCTTTGGGATTTGCTGCTGTGAGATCTTCTATTGTCTGTGATTTTGTTGATGTAGCCAAATTCCTTGGGTTGGAGTTTTCCTTCTACTACTTTGAGTAGTGCTAGGTTTGTGGTATTAATTCTGGTTCTGTCATAGAATGTCTTGTTTTGTCCTTCTATGGTGATTGAAAGAAAGTCTTGCTGGGTATAGTAGTGTGGGGTAGCAACTGTGATCTCTTAATATCTGAATAACTCTTGACCAGTACCTTCTGACTTTCATTGTCTCCATTGAGAAGTCAGGTGTAATTCTGATAGATCTGCCTTATATGTTACTTTCCCTTTTTCCTTAGCAGTCTTTAAAATTCCTTCTTTATTCTGTATGTTTAGTGTTTGATTATTATCTGGCAAAGGGACTTTTTTTTATCCACTCTGTTCAGTGTTCTTTAAGCTTCTTGTTTCTTCATAGGCATATCTTTCTTTAGGTTGGGAATGTTTTCTTCTATGATTTTGTTAAATATATTTTCTGTGCTTCTGAGTTGGACTTCTCCTTCTTCTGTACCTATCTTTCTTAGGTTTGGTGTTTTCATGGTGTCCCGTATTTCTTGGGTATTTTGTGTTAAGCTTTTGTTAGATTTGATGTTTTCTTTGACTGATGAGTCTGTTTCCTCTATTGTATATCAGTGCTTGAGATTCTCTTTTCATCTCATGTAAGCTGCTATTTTTGCTTGCATTTGTGATTCCTGATCTTTTCCCCATGATTTCTGTTTCTATAATTCCCTCAGCTTGTGTTTTCTTTATTGTCTTTATTTCAGTTTTCAAGTCTTGAATAGTTTTTTCATATGTTTGATTACTTTTTCTTTATTTTCTTTACTGGATTTGTTGATGTCTTCCAATTTTTTGTTTGTCTTTTCCTCCATTTCTTTGAGGGAGTTTCTCATTTCCTCTTTAATGGCCTCAAACATTCTCCTTAAGTTATTTTTTAGGTCATTTTCTTCTGCTTCATCTATATTTGGTTGTTCAAGTCTTGCTGTTATACGATCACTAGCTTTTACTGGTGATGTGTTGCTCTTTGTGGTGTTGTGTGTTCTTACCTTGTCTACTCATCTTTGACTCTGATTGGTGTAGTTGGGGCTGTCTGTGGCTCTGGTGATCAGTCTTCCAGGTGCCAGTAGATCCAAGGCTCAGATGGTTGTTCCTTGTGGTGCAGTCAGTGCCACAGGTTCCAGTCACCCCGTTAGTCACTCTGTGTTTCCTAGGTTGCTCAGTGCTCCCATGGTTTGCTCCACTACCATGGAGTCATTCTCTCAGGCCTGCTCTTACCTAGGCTCCGGCTCAGATCTGTTTCTATAAATGTCCCTTGTCTGAATCTGATCAGACAGAGGTCCCTTGCTTAGAGTTGGTTCTGCAGAGGTCCTGACTCAGGCCTACTCCCTCAGTAGTCCCAGACTCACGCCCGAACCTGCAGAGGTCTCTGGTTCCTGCCCACTCCATCGGAGGTCCCAGATTCATAGCCGGACGCTTAGAGTTCCTGGCTCAAGATCAGTTCCTGGGAGGTCCCAGACTCACACCTGGACCTGCAGGGGTCCTGGCTCAGGTCTACTCCATCGAAAGTCCCAGACTCACTCCCAGTCCTGCAGAGGTCACTGATTCCTGCCTGTGCCTTCATAGGTCCCAGACTCATTTCCTGAACCTGTAGAGGTCTTTGGCTCTGGCACACTTCCTTAGCAGTTGCTCCGGTTGCTCTGCTGTACCTGCTCCTGTGGAGCTCAGTGTCTCAGGGCTGCTATGGCCTAGGTCTCAGGCTCAGTTCTGTTTCCGTTAATGTCTCTGGTCTGGATTCACTCCCGAACCTGCGGAGCTCACGGTCTCTGGCCTGCTCTGGCTTAGGTTGCTGACCCAGTCCTTCTTCCGCAAATTTTACTGGTCTGAATCCACACCTGCTACCATGGAGTTCACTGTCCCAGGGCTACTCCAACCAAGGTCGCTGGCTCATTCCTATTCCTGTGGCGTTTGCTGCCTCAGGTCTGCTCTGGCGTAGGTTGCTGGCTCCATCCTGCTCCTGTATAGTTCGCCATCCCGGTCCACTCCAGCCCAGGTTGCTGGCTGAGTCCTGCACTTATGAAGTTAGCTGTCTCAGGTCTCCGTTGCAAGGATTTTCAGTCCTGGTTAGATATACACCCCTCCCCACTACTGACTGCCTATGACTTAAGAAATTGTCTGTCTCTGTGTGTGTGTGTGTGTGTGTGTTGTAGTATGCATAGATCACTTCATCAGTTGAAACAGACATTCACAGTGTCGTCAAAGTTAAAATCCACAAAAGTAATTAGCTGTAGAACATGCATGCTTTAAGTTGATACATGGTCGTCATCTCACACCAGTTGTCTGAGAGGGATTGCAAAGACACATTATTAAGTGGAAGGAGTAAAACACGTGTACATGAGATTTCCTCTTTCTATGCTATTATTTGCCGTAGAACATGAATGTATTTTTCCTTTATTCCTGTGTTAACGTGGAAGACTGTTCAGGTAGTTAGCAGTGGTGATTGGTGATACATGAGAAAAAGAAGACAGCCAGTAAGTAAATATTGAGCAGATTCTTGTTTCATTCACAGACTCCATCTTAAAAATAAAATTGAAATCAGCACCATTGCCGGTAACTACCACCTTGAAGTTAACCCCAGGTAAACTGCTACCAAATATTGTTAGAAAAGTAGTAGGAATTACAATTTTAGTAAAAATAGTTTATAGTCTTTGTCCTCCAGTTTAGAGCTGTGTTTTGAAATATTGTTGTACATTTGGAAGCTTGGTACACAGAGCAGATTAAAGTAAAGCTGGTTCCCTGACCCACCGCCTGGTGTTGGCCTGCTGTGCTCTCCCTAAAGTCTGCTCGCTCTGCAGAGCTCACAGTTTCCAGTTCCTTGCATAAGTTCTGTTGAGCTATCCTGACTGTTTCAGTGTTGGTGAGCATAAACAAAGCTGTCTAAAACGTCAATCCTGTCTGGAATAAGTATTTCAAATACTGAATGTGGGCCATCATCCTTCTTTGGTATATTTTGTGTTTTCGTTGTCTCTATTAGAGGATTATGTTAGGCAATAACTATTGCCTGGATGCCTACTGAGATAGAAGATCCAAGTCCTTCTATGGGGGTTGGAGGGACACTGGGGATCCATGGTGCAGTATCAGTTGGGAAAAGTTTCAGAGGTCCTTAGGCCAGCAACCATCATGGACCATGTCACTGAGGTGAGTGTCTCTGAAAAGAAGGTGAAATGGAGGGAGTGGGGGGAGGAGTCTTAAGCTCATGCTTTTGTAGATTTGGTGGCAGGCACTATGTATGCTCTACACAAACTGTCTTCTTCAATCCGTAGAGTATCTCTTACACAGTTCATCAAGGGAAAGATGGGGAATGGATCAAGTTATAAGAGTATTTGCTCTGTAGGCTACTTGGGGAATATACCGACTTCTTGCCTGGGAAAATGGTCACCAGAGTTCAGATGTTCTGGTCCAGCTATAACAAAGGGAGGAAAACTTAATGACTGTGTGGATAATTGTAAAGTAAAATTGACAAATGAGATGTAATTAGGTCTTTCTGTAGTGAGTAAACTAGAAACAGGGTATTTGTTAAACTGTTAGTTTTCCCCTTGAGTAGTAATATCACTGTGAGAACACACTGAATGCTTTCAGTGCTAGTACAATTGAAGTTTGTTAACCAGCCTAAAATATGTCAATTTTAAAGGTTTATAATAGTAACTACATATTACTAGTTTCAACAAAATTTTTAACCACAAGATTGTACAATTGTAGCTAAACATGTGGTCTACTCAAGAAGCCGATGAACTGAAAATTGAAAACCAACATGGACCACATACCAAAAATCTCTGTCTCAAAAACAAAACAAAGGAAGACAAACTTCCTGAAATTTTTCATGTATTAACAGGTTAAGAGTAAGGTTGTAATACTGGTAAGTATTTACATCCATGTAATCGTCCTTCTCCTGTTGTATAGTGATGCAGGAAACATTGAACAGGTCCTAATTCAGGAGATGCTGAAGACTGTGACACAATCACAGTAGCTTGAAACCAGCTCACAAGGAGACGTCAAAAGTGAGTAGTGAGGAGGCTAGGGCTGCTGTGCTCCAGTGCTCCTTGTTGGAGTTAAAAATGAATGTGTGCTGGGTACACTAGCATTTGGGAGGCAGAGGCAGAGGCAGAGGCAGGAGGAACTCTGTAGTTCAAGGTCTACATGGTCTACAGCAAGCTCCAGAGCAGCCAGGGCTCCATAAAGAGACTGGTATTGAAAGAAAGAGAGAGAGAGAGAGAGAGAGAGAATGCGAGCCCAAGCCTCTGCATGTGGTGTTTACAGTCCTCTGTCTGTGGTGTCTGTTTGATATTTCTGAAAAAGTACTGGGAACACACATCATTTAAAATAAGAAACAACGTGATTTCAAAATGACTGGTTTGTGACCAAAACTTCCTGTCGTCAAATGTGAACAAAGAAAATGAAGAGCAGCCGTAACCCCATCTCTGGGACAGACATGACTGATGGCGCCTTTTGCCTGCCAGTGTTTCTTGTACACATATAATGCTTACATATAAGACTTTGTGATGACAAAAATGTTGGCATTCGATGTGTTTCATGTATGTTGTCAAATTCTTCATCTGAGGGACAATGTAAATTTGTATTTTTCTAAAGCAGTTATCTAATCTGCATGTTGTTATTTTTTATCTTTGTCACTAGGAGGAAAAA